CCTTGAGTGTATTGGATGAATGTAATGACTTATTTATGTATTTGTGTGACGTGGCGAGTGTAACCAAACTATGTACCTTTCCCCTTTATTTATTTACATGGGTTGTTGTGAAGATTACCTCACTTGCGACATTGCTTTCAATGCGGTTATGCCTCTTAGTCGTGCTTCGACACGTAGGAGATATAGCCACATCGAGGGCATTACACTGGTAGCTTGGGATAAGGTTTGCACTCCAAAAGTCGCAGGTGGTCTAGGTGTCAAAAATTTACGCGCACAAAATTTTTGTCTACTGCTAAAATTTGCTTACAAGTTCATGCGCTCCACCAACCTTCCTTTTTTCGATAAAGGGAGATTTTATTATCTCGGAATGTAGCATCAAGGGGATACAAAACATTATGAGTAACACCCAGCCTCTGCATAACTAAGATGCACACAGCCAAATCCAAAAGTCTGACAAAAAACAAGAAATATAAAACGACATATCGGCAACAGTAAAGTCCTATAGACCGACACTATGTCTATGTCGAAGGTGGTGGTGGATCGATCCGGAGGTTATGCTGCCACCCATGTTGGGAAAAAACCTTCGTAGCCACCTGCTCCAACCGCGTACACACCGCCTTGAACAATGATTGGTGCTCCAATCGTTGTAGCATAGACCACGTATGAAGCGAGTGCGTACAACAGAAAATAACCTGCAGAGGAGAAGCATTTTTCCATTAAAAACCAAATCATTTCTACATAGCCAGAGCGACCAAATTAAGGCGTACGCTCCCACCCTTATAAGTGCTTTAAACCTATTTGGAATACCGTCCAACCAGTGACCAAATATATTGGCAACACTTGTGGGCGGATATAAATTTGACGCTATTTGGATGATTGACCACGTAGAACGTGCAAACTTGCATTGGAAAAAGAGGTGTTTGATTGTCTCATCATGAGTACAAAAACAACACTTCTTACTCCCTGGCCAGTTGCGTCGTGCGAGGTTGTCTTTGGTCAACACAACTCCTTTACGAAGATACCACATGAAAATTTTCACTTTTAGTGGAATCTTGGACTTCTAAATTTTCTTATTATTACTCACTGGTACCTCAGAATGTGTGAGCGCACGGTACATAGAGTCTACTGTAAAAGACCCTGATGTAGTAAAGTTCCAGCGAAACACATCCCGGCCTTGTGTCAAGTTAATCGAATCCAACCGGGACAAAAGATTATGCCATGACAGAAGTCTGGGGCCAATCAAATCCCTCCTAAACTAAATGTTCAGCGGGGATGAACTGAGCACATGCGCAATAGTGTTGTTCTTATCACGAGCAATGTTATATAAGGCTGGATATTGTTCTCTGAGACTGGCATTACCTAGCCAGATGTCTTCCCAGAATCGAATCTCTGATCCGTCTTTTATCGCGAAAGACCCAAAGTGAAAGAGATGTTTCTTTGCCGCCATTAGGCCAGCCCAGAAGTGCGAGTCACCAGGTTTCCAATATGCCTGGGACACCACCTTTTGGCCTAGATACTTGTTGCGCAACATGGTTTGCCAAACACTATCCTCGGTAAGAAGTTTGAACAACCATTTACTGAGCAAGGCCTCATTCTTGACCTATAGGTCATGAATTCCAAGGCCGCCTTGCTCTTTTGGCCTACAAACCATGCTTCATTTGGCCAACCGATATTTTTTCTTTTCTCCATCTCCTTGCCAAAAAAATCTGGATCTTAAATAATCCAATCTTTGTAGGACCTCTTTTGGGAGTTGGAAGAAAGAAAGCATATAGAGAACCATATTTGTGAGAACGGAGTTAATCAAAACCAACCGTCCTTCAACTAAGAGCAGCTTGCCTTTCCAACTGCTCAATCGTTTCTCTAGACGCTCCTCTACATGTTTCCACTCCGCAATGGTGAGACGCTGATAGTGGATCGGTATTCCCAAATATTTAATCGGGAATTGGCCATGTGCGCAACCAAAGAGGTTAGCATAATCGGCAGCCGCCTCAACGGCTTCTCCAAAGCAGAAAAGTTCACTTTTATGGAAGTTAATTTTGAGACCCGACATTTGCTCAAACGCTGAGAGCAAGAGTTTTAGGTTTCGAGCCTTGTCTAGGTCATGTTCCATAAAAAGAATTGTGTCATCGGCGTATTGCAGAATAGAGAGGCCACCATCCACAAGATGTGGCACTACTCCTTCTATCTGACCTCGTGCTTAGCACGCTCAATCAGAATAGCCAACATGTCAACAACAATGTTAAATAACATTAGAGAAATGGAGTCACCATGTCGTAGTCTTTTTTTTGTCTGAAAGTAAGAGCCTACATCATCATTGACTTTGATGGCCACACTACCTCCAGTTACAAAATTTTGGATCCACTGACGCCATTTATCGGAGAAACCTTTCATTCTTAGGGCTTGTTGGAGGAAAGACCATTTGACCTTGTCATAGGCTTTTTCAAAGTCAATTTTGAATACTACTCCACTCATGTTTTTCTGGTGCATCTCGTGAACGGTCTCATGCAAAATTACTACGCCATCGAGTATATTCCTTCCTTGCATGAACGCCGTTTGAGATGGCCGAACAACATGATCAGCTACCGAGTTTAACCTATTTGTGGCCACTTTGGTGAAAAATTTTGAAGCTAACATTAAGGAGGCATATGGGTCTGAACTGTTGGATCCGTTCGGCCTCCTTAGTCTTGGGCAACAAGACAATCTCGCCAAAATTAAGTCTAAATAGGTCTAGTCAGTCGGCATGAAGACAATTGAACAAATCCAAAAGGTCGATCTTGATGATATCCCAAAAATTCTGATAGAATTCTGCGGGGAAACCATCTGGCCCTGGAGCTTTGTTATGTTCCATTTGGAACACCGCCGCTCTCACCTCCTCTTCCGAGAATGGTGCCGTTAGGATATCATTTTCTTCTGCCGTGACTTGTGGAATATCATCCGTTCGGGTCTCGTCAAGGGTGAATTTCCCTTCAACTGACGCTCCAAACAGAGATTTGTAGTATTTGGTGATATACTTCTTGAGCTCCTCATGTCCTTCGATCTGCCCCTCATCTTGTTGGAGACTGTAAATGCATTTTTTCTTATGCCGCCCATTGGCGATCAATTGGAAGTATTTTGTATTACTATCACCCATCAAGATGAAGTCAGCTTTGGATCTCTGGTAGTATTTGATCTCCTCTTCTCGCAAAAGTCGTGCAACCTTCTCGTTAGATTGATTTTTCAGCTCAATCTCATGTTGAGATAAGGTGCGCGTCTCTGCAATTTTGTCAAGGTCGTCAATAATGGTAGAGAGTCTTTGTTTTTCTTTTTTATATATCATGTTGATGTGTTTCGCCCATCCAGTGAGCTGTTTCCTCATGGCCCTTATTTTAAAGTTCCATCTCTGAATAGGCGTACGACCAACAGCGGGCTTCTCCCAAACATTCTTAATTATGTCTATAAATCCATCTCGATGCAGCCATCCCAATTCAAATTTGAAAGGGCGACGGACATTTGGCTTCGTAGTGTTAGAATCCAGAATTATGGGTGCATGATCCACCAACCTTCCTTGGAAAGATTGGATCTTACATCACTCGCCACTTCACATTGGTTTTGGTAGTAACAGCTCCTTCCTTGCCAAAACTATCTATAAACAGTTGCAGAGCCTGAGAGAGATTTCTCGCTGTTCCATTGGTAATGGACAGTCCACCTTCTTTTGGTTAGATCGTTGGCTTCTGCCTGAGCCTCTAGCTATCATTTACCCTGCTCTCTTCTCCCACCACACCAAACAAAATGCCCTAGTAGCTAACATTTTAAAGGAAGGGATCGAGCTTGCTCTTCGTACTCGACTAACCAATACTGCAGTCGCAGAACTTGCCTCTCCCAACTCTTTGTTGCAGGATGTGTCTACCTCACAGGAACCGGACACTAGGAGGCTGCTGAATGGTGAAAATTTCACCACGCGAGGCGCATACGCAGCCCTATCCACCCAGCTCAACGACCAAGTCCTTGCCTTGGTTTAGGACTCAAGGGTGCCGAAGAGAGTGATGATCTTCGGTTGGTTATTTTACTTGGATCGCCTGAACACCAAGAAGAACCTGCGCAAGAAGCACATCTTAAGCTGCAACACTTGTCCTTGTTGTAACATCGCGGTGGAGGATCGTGACCACCTCTTCTTCACCTGTCCGGCGGCTCGCAGGGTATGGCATGCTACCGGTATTCAACCTCAGTTCTCCCCGATCGCTGAGTTCTTCACCTCCGCCTGGCCGCCTGCTCTGCCGTCCACAATCCGCCCCTTCTTGCTACTTCTCATTCTCTGGAAAATCTGGGATGCTAGGAACAAAAAAGTTTTCCAGAATCTCGAGATTGATGCGAGAAGTACGATCAAAGCGATCCTAGATGACCTTATTCTTTGGTCTCACCGTCTCAGGACGGCATTACTTAAGGATCACGCCGGGCTGTGCCGTGATTTCCTCTCCTCTCGCTCTACGGGAGTTCTGTAAAC